AAAAAGAGCTGCGGAAGGTGTAAAGTTAGAAATGATACTTCATTTTGTTAACTTTTTTTGTTGTTGGTTTTATTCTGTACAATTTAAGGTTAAAAAAGGAAAATAACTTTGAACATAGGTTTGGGCACTGAAAATAATTTAGACTTTTAAAAAGATCTTTTCAGATTTATTAGCCTGTTTACAATTATTGTTGGAAAAGGCCAAGTGAGTAAACTTTAATGGCTGTTTTTTATATAGTGTCTCAGTGAAAGTTAAAACAACTGAAGCCCAGTGATTAGCTTTAAGAATTTAGGAACACTGACCTGGTTATACGTCAAACATTTAAATGGCTGAAATTGGGCTACAGTAGGTTCATCGCTGTAATGAAAACCTCAAAATGCTTTATATGCTCGTTCATGAGGTGCAAACTAATGATTTTACCATCATACTAAAAATACCTGGACCCAAATGAATAAACATTTAACAGTTGAGTAAAATCATAATAGTACAAAGAAGTTAAAGCTGTGAAACTTATCAAAGAAGTACTGCTAGTAATTAAAATGTTTGAAAGTTTCTTTTTTTACTGTTTCTTTTGACATGATGGCAGTTGTCATGTACCAATTGTGCTAAACCAGAATTTTAACCACACATTCATATGCTGCACATCAAAACAACCTACAGAAGATCCATTATCCAGAGCTTTCATTATTCTGTCTAATGCCAATTTATAATCAGAACCAAAACACAGAACTTTAAACACCTTGCAGAGACAAAGTGTTTGCATCTGCATGTTTCTATGCACATGTGTGTGTTTGCATGTCTGTCTGCTGCTGTTTATTAGCTTGTCATATGTGTGAAAGACAGAATGTGCGAGTGAAAGGGGCCAGCCGAAGGATGTGTGTAATCGGAGAAAGTGGGAAACAAAGACAGGAGAGTGTGTGTGTGTGTGTGTGTGTGTGTGTGTGTGTGTGTGTGTGTGTGTGTGTGTGTGTGTGTGTGTGTGTGTGTGTTGTGGGGGGTCAAGCCATAAGTCGATGCAACACCCAGGAGAATTTAGATCCACAGCCCTTCATTGCCATGTGGGGAAAGCCAAATCTTTAATCAGTTGTTTGGGAACAGAAGAAAATGTTTTCGGCCAGGCAGACAATAGTAATGTTCCATATGCCTTAATGTCTGCCGGTACATCCCACTGTGGCAGATCCAATCAGACAAACAGTGTGGGCAATCCCGCCGAGCCGATCTATCAGCTTCTCCCAGATCAGTTCCATCTGGCCAGCAAAGACCAGGAACCACAGCCGGGCCACAACCCTCAATAGAACCGCTTGCAGACCGAGTCCCAGCTCGCACCCAGCGTGAGTCTGAGTGCTGATAGAACAGCAAACCTTCATAATGGTCAGTCAGCCAGGAGATGAAAAGCCACCGACACTGTTTTGCAGAACACCAGGAGACCACCATGCCAATCTGTAGAATCCAGTGATTGGAATCCAATATACTGTATGTGCTAGTTGAACAGAGAAGAACAGAGGTGCCACCTTTGACATGTCCTCCCATGGAAGAAAAAGCGTTTTACTCCTCCGGGAGAAGTAAAATACATATATACAGCAGGTAAGATAAGTATTGAACACGTCACCATTTTTCTCAGTAAATATATTACTAGAGGNGTGTGTGTGTGTGTGTGTGTGTGTGTGTGTGTGTGTGTGTGTGTGTGTGTGTGTGTGTGTGTCCCAACCAACACACATATGCACATAAGTAGACGTGTTGAAGTCTCTGGTCGTTCAGTGGCTGTAGTGTAAGCAGACTGTGTGTGGTGAAGAGGGCACGGAGATGCATTCGATAGAGGAGTTGTGTGTAAGTTGTGTTGGAAGGGTCCTGGGTTGGGGTCTGAGTGCGCTCACTGTTATAAAATTAGACGTAGAACACGTGTGTGTGTTCAAGGAGGAACTTGTGTGTTTGTTACACTAAAGTCTATATTAATATAAAGGTGCGGTTTGAATGGTAAAAACACTTGTTTTATCATGAAACTTCCTTTTTGTATGTTGGTGTTTTATGTATCATGTCTTTTACTCTGTTGCTTTATTTTACATGAGCTCTGCTGCACGGCGTCCCGCTTCCAAACGAGCGTGTCTGTGTTTAGATTGGAAGTGCTTACGCCCCAGTTCTCCCACATTTTCCAAACTGCACTAGATTCCAGCTCCGATAAAGCCGCATTGTGTGTTCATGAGCCCAGGCCCACCTTGTCCTTGTCAAAGATCGCCACATGTTGAAAGATGCATGTGTTATCTGTTTTGTTGTTTCTGCTTGGCTCATTTAGAGGAAGCCTTTCGTGACAGAGCTTGTTTTTAAATCACATGGGTCGTCACATGCAGACCCTGCATGGCAAAGTTAGGAACAGTGGGGGAACTCCTCCTTGTCTTCTGGTTTCTTCATTTCAAATGACTCGGTTGACCTTAAGTTTCTGTTCTGATGTTTCAAGTTTCACGTGGTATCAAAATGTGTAGCTATTCCAAAGTATTTCACCCATATTTGATTCACTAGTGTTTTTCCTGTGTTGCCTTTTCCCCCCACATGTTAATTCCACTTTTTCATGGCTGAAACATAAGTAGACCTCCTGGCATTCTGTTGGCTGGAAATTGCATTTCCTTTTTTTTTTGAACCCATTTCCTAACCCTGCTGCGACATGTCTTATTTGTAAACTGAGAACTACTTAGCTGCCAAATGACTGCAGAACGTATCAGAATGGAAGCACCACTGAACACTGAGGAGATTTAATTGTAACACTTTTGGAAAGTCTGTAATTGTGAAAGCCAGAATGTCATCGCGCATCATCGGAGCAACGATACCTCCACACACTAAAACCCCCACGAGTACCCATCTGTGGTACAGAACAAATCATAACCACGGACCACCATTCATGCCCACATCCACCCACTCCCTTTCCTCAGCATCCGACTGAAATCCGATTGACAAAGACTAGCTGCAGCCATCTTTATTAGGTGATACAGGCCCCCATCCACCCCACACGTACCCAGCCATGGTCGACAAACCACTTCCTCCATCTCCCTTTCCATCAGTTCATTCTTTCATGTGGACACAGATGTCTGAGATCTTACACACTGGGAGTGGGTGCAGATGGCTCCTATAGCAGCCCGTCAATCAGAGCTTTGAAAGGAGAGATCAGTGGCCTGCTCACATATATGTTCATGTGCTCTTTTCTCTATAATGGTATTGTGTGGCTGCGTGTCTCTTCTATGTTAACACTAATAATGATGGATGATGTGTCAGTATAACTTACCTGTGTGTGCATTAAGAGCATGTGTTGTGTGTTGAGAGCACAAAGAGTTGTTGTTGTTTAGCACAGCAAGCAAATTTAACTTCTTGTTTTGCGGCTACAATTTTTTTTTCTGTTTTTATTTACGTTTTACAGAATGTCCCAAATTTTGTTGGAATTGGAGTTGTATTTAATTTGAAAAAATCTCTATTAACCTTGTAAGTTAGGGATCCTCAGTAGAAAGTTGCACAATATAAACTAGGGATGTGACAATTATTATAACTGCTTAAAATATAGATCATTTTAAATTCTACTAATATCTGTTTAATTGGCACAATTTATATATTATCATAACTACTTTCACTTCACAAAGTTCTTAATTTGGTATGTTTCCCAATGGTTTTTTTTGGAACTAGCTAAGCTACTAAACTAAACTAGCTAATTTAAGGGGTTTTCAGGCAGCACATGATCACTGTCCTCTGTATGAGAGTCTTTCACACTTTTATGTGTATTTTGAGCTTTGAAACCAAACAGTCGTTTCCAGAAAAAGCTAAATAATACACTGAAAAGGAAAACCCAAAAGTCGTAACATGGCCTCTTTCAGGAAATGAAGTGCAATAAAAGTAAAATACATTCGAGGAGTGAGTTCATGGACACAAAAGCTGTTTGTACTGGTATTTATGGGATGTGGGATCCTGTGTTCTCCAACTTTTCAGGAAGATAGTGATGTCCTTTGTTAACACAAAAGTTTACGAACCCCATCGTTTGTCCTGAAGCTTCACCCAAACGTTTGTGTTCTGGATCGACTTTTTTGTCCTCCACATAAAAATGTGTCCATTTCAGTTTATAGTGAGATTTCAAACAAATACAACAACGTGAGAACCTACAAGCACACATACAAACTTCTTGACATTCATGTACATAACCTTTTTGCAGTTACACAAATGCCCCCACGCATACTTTCCTCGCTCCGTGTTTCCGCGGCTCCTGACTCGGTATGAATTATTCAGCCAATCACACGGCTGAGCAGTCTGAGCCTTGTCCCTGATTGTGACATGCTGTGTTCACTTAAAAATGCCTCACGCTATGCTTGACTGACACGTGTCCGTACGCAAGTGTGTGGAAATATTTGCGCAAAGCCGTCAATGAAACGTGTAATTTCCTTAATTGTAATTTGGTACAACAAGGCAATGTGATTGGGGAGGGACTATTTCTGGGTTCTGACCTGTGATTTGCTGCAGTTAAAAGAACAAGGGTTTGGCAAAAGCAGATTTTGTGATTGCCTGTTATTTTTAGTTTATTTTCAGTTTTTATCACCTTTTTATCAGCTATATCTCATGGACTGCTGGACAGATTTGATGAAACCCTGAGTAAATAAATATTGGCTGTACATCTGTAACTGTTTACCCTTTGGAATCAATTACATTTAAGATGGCTGCCACAGCTAATCAACCTTTGCCTAAACAAAAACTGGTAAAACTCAGAATTTTACAAATATTGATGTAAAATTGGATGTGGTTGTAGCTGAAAGTCACAACACATTTTGAAAGTGCTGACGGATCAGATATTGCAGGATTACATGAGACTGCACACAAAGTTTCTTTCATGGTTTGACCAAAACATCTAGAACATAAAAGGAGATTGATAGTTCTGACAAATAAGGTGGCGATCATACCAATATCTTCAATAAATGCTTGACTTACAGGTGTATTTTTAAAAATAACATTTTACTTTTTCTTGTATTTTCTTCCAGAGATGTTAGAGTCCAGTAACCTTGTCACCTTCAATGGTTTAGCCAATAGTTCGAGTTATGACGCTTTTCTATTGGATGAGGAGAGGGGGAGGCTACTGGTCGGAGCAGAGGACCACATCTTCTCGTTTGACCTCGTCAATATCAACAGGGACCACAAACAGGTAAAGCTCTAAAGCAGCTTTGGTGAAAGGAATAAAAAGATGGTTTATCTCCACTCCTTTGCTGCCTGACCCCACCTCTGGAGTCTATTATTCCATCTACTTCTCACCCGCCTTCATCCCTCCCTCTGTCTGTCTTGGTCCAGACACGGCTGTCCATAATTCCATTACTCCACCTGGACTAGGTTAACAGTCTTTTTATCTGATTCGAACGGCTATCAAAGACACACACGTCTGACACGGTGTTGCCTGCAGGCTGCAGAGAGCTTCACAGGGGAACAAATTGCTGAAAAATGCATAGTCAATGAGAAAAATGAGAGGTGCCCTCAAATTTCCCCTGCCTTTGGCTCTTTTGTTCGAATCTGTGGAACGTTACGAGATAAAAACAAAAAAGCTGTGATTAAGTACACCTAATGTAATCAGTGAAAAATGATGATTTTTTTTATGTGGAGAGTAAAACAGAGCTGATCAGGAGTGTGGATAAAGGAATGAATTGAGAAAATGTAGCTCTCTGTAAGGGCACCATAATGCATGGGCATGCATGCGCATATATTTCCAATGTCTGCTCACATCTGTGTGGCCTGCAACAACAACAAAAAATTTWAAAAAAAAATGCTGTCGCCACCCCAGATTTGAGAATAAAATCACCCCTCTCCTTATTACAGCTCACACATGCACACTCATGTGTGTTTATAATTCATGTGTAACCAGAGGCCACAAAGAAATGACAAGCACAGTTGCAGAACCCTGGTTTCTGTTTATATTTAAAAATACAACCTTATGCTTGATATTTCAAAAGAGTTTAACTTTATTATTTGTATTTTGTAGTCTACTTATTAAACGTTTGTTTCATCATCTAAGTCTTTTGCTTTTTTAAAGTTTATTTGAAGGTTAATCCTTGGTAGCAATACATAACATAATCTGGTCCATAATGGATACAAATCTGGTACTTATTGTGTAGGTACTGACAGARATACTCTATATAAAGTACTTGAAAGAAATAACTACAGTATGTAAAAATAAAATACCTTAACAGAAAATGACTAAAATAGCTGCACTAGTTGCTATACACCTCTGTGTACTGGGTACCTCCTAGGTATGCAGTGCACCAGGTAAGCGCCCTGTAAATAAATATTAAGTCACTGTATTATATATGTACCCAATATGTACCAGGCTGTAATTTTGCTACCAAATTCTGTCTGAATTATATTTACAAGAGTGTGTAAACAAGAAAAAAACTTAAATGATGACAAATCCAAAGCTTTCGCCTGTAATTTTTCTGATTAACCATACTGACTCATCTCCACTGTGCATCTACGCTCTCCGTTTCACAAAACATTTATTGTTCCTCTCAACTCTCATGCGCAGTCTGAACATGTCTTTCTCTCGTTTTCACAGATTGCCTGGCCTGCCACCTTCTCCAAGAAGGATGAATGCAAGTGGGCAGGAAAAGATCTTGGGGTGAGACCTCACACATGTTTGCATCGTAGTTGGAGCTCTTCCGTGGACTGTTTGTGCTGATAGTTTGACAGATTTGTCAGAAATTTTGGTGGTGCATCTCATATGTAATGGAGATAAAATAAGAATCTTTGGACTCTAAAATTAGWAGAACAAAAGGAGTGAAATGGGAGGAAATTCCCAYAGAAGAAAGCCAGTTTTGTTTCACCTTTACCACATTCACCCTACCATAGGCCTGCCAATGACACCTGCAGCAAAGTATACAAACACACAGTGGAGGTCAAATGTGTCAATAGCACGAGGACAATAAACCAGTTAATTTGCATTCTGTAATGTACAGATAAATGCTGAAAATATGTGTATGTGTCTGACTCAGAGCAGTCCACACGTGTGCATTTCTATTGTTATCTGTCACGMTGTGTTAGCACACATGGCCAGTTCTGCTCGAACACAGACCCAACTGTGTGCGCGCTCCGGAGTTAGTGTATCTTATCTTTGTGTTACTGTTTAGAAAGGCCCCTCTCAGTATTGTATTTGATCTCAATTTCATGGTTGAACGAGTCTCCAGTGCAAGGCTGCAGGTTTTCGGGGATTATAGAAGAACCACACACATCCGTTTGAATCAAGGGGCTTTCATTGGGTTTGCACCCTTTTTTTTCCAGATTTCACAAAGTCCACAGCMACACGAGCTGTACACTGGCATCACACAGTGGAAAGATTGCACTCTGGCAACCYAGAATCGCACAAAAAGCAGTAATGAGGTATTTGCGTGCTGTGAAAATGTTTACCCTTGAAATCGAGGCGGTGAAAGCAAAGACAGAGGAACACACGAAGAGGTCTTGATTAGGACATTACTAAAGCATCCAGAGCTCTCAAAGTGATGCATTTCTCCAAACCGCAATTTACAACCACAGAGCAAATGTAACAGCTGCCCCCACCCTCCCTGAAAATGCCTGAGGACTTTATTGCTATCCCTTACCRAGTGACTGGCCCAGGTTGTTCTATTGTGATCTAAGTGTACTTTTGTCAAAATGCTTGATGTCTTTCTTTAATAACTGCTCAATAGTTACAAAAACTAAAGAAAAACATTCCACTGTTTGTTTTATTGTGCAAGCGCACTTCCTGGATTGACTCAGAGATCTTGCTTTAAACAAAATTCACTAAATTCACCCACATTTCTGCAAATCTGTCCACCCATTTCTCTTGTGGCGAGTCATCCTACCCAGTCCAAAGAAAGTGATTAATTTGATCCACAATAAATGAGTCATTTATTCTTTGTGGGTATTTTAGTTTTCAAGCAATGACACGGTTTGTGATGGAGGAAAGGGTTTTCCACTGGAGGCCAACACACAGCTGCATTCATGTGACTTTATCCAACACCTGTCAGTGTTTAGGTGGAAGCGTACCTACCACGTAGCTAATGAATCTAACTGGGACAGCCGTGGTAAATCCTTAACAGAGGTGATCCTGGGGGGCTTTATAGGAGTCGATGAAATGCACATAATACGGGCGTGAGAATGATGTGAGGGGGGACGTGTGCTCTGACAGTTCAACAGTAGGAAACCCAGAAGGTAAAGTCATTAAGCTGCACGCTCAYAKACTCAGACATGCGGGGTTCAGGTCAGCATGATATTGTGCAAATATAGTTACTTTTGGCGAGCTCTAGACCTGTGGCTGAAATGTGTAAAGTGCTCAAATAGGTGGTTATTAATAACATGAATGGCTGAAAGGTGTTAAATATCTGAGAAAAAATAGTACCATTGGTAGCGTGCAACAGCAAAGATTTTATGTTTTCAAGAAATAATTTTTAAATGAAGTAAGAATGTGACATCAGTGGAAATACAACATGTTCTGAAGCCAAAAGCAGGATTACGTGATAACAATTAGGTGTCAAAATACAGTTCTAGCTCTAGAACTTAGTACATCTAATGAGTTCAAAATGTCTGACAAAAACTGTGACTATTTTGTAAGAGGATTTGCAGCACATTTTTTCAATACGTTTAAAGTTGAAGCTTCTGAGATTTGAAAGCCTTAAAAATGTTTCAAGACTTTTTGGTGTATATTAAGTAAAATAAATAAAAATAACAGAAAATGACTTTGGTAAAAATGAATTTCACTCATAAAAAAGGTACTTAAGTAAAAATCATAAAAATGCTCACAATAACCAGGAAATTAAATTTAAAAGTACTTGTACACTCTAAAATTATACATTTTCTTTTATAGACGCAACTTGGTTAGGTAAATTCAACATTTCATTTTTTAGAGTGCATAAACCACTCCTTTGAGTCTTATATTTTACGACTTTTACAGGTGTTACATTTTAAAATAAAGAAGTAAATGTATAATTTTTTTGTGTTTTGAATGTAACAAAATAAGTTACAATTTAAAAAATTTTTTGTAGAATTACATAGATTCAAAAAATACTTAAGTCCTGTAACAAAGTAAATGTATTTTATTCCTATACTGGGTTTAGATTAAGCCAACTGTTTTATTTTACTGTTACTTTGGATTTAATCAGTTATTTATTTTGAGCTTAAGTGCCCTTTTTAATGGCAACTAACCTTAAAACAATGATTTGTTTTGCATATGACACACTTTTGCCATTCTGTGCAGAGTTACAAAGTTGCACTAATAATCCATCCAGGAAATTGTCCATTTTGGAACCACGTCCAAAAGCATTTTTGCTCACTATTTATTTAGTACGAGTTTCAGGAGAGCCATCGTTAGGCAAGCTAACAAATTAGCCCTGGTAAACTAGCCAGTTGTACTCTCCAGCTTCATGTTTAACGAAGTGAGTGATCTCATTTTTACATCCAACTCCCTGTAAGGAACTAAATCATTTCATTTGTCAGAGTGTCAAACTTTCCCTTTCAGCAAATTTACTGAGGAAGTCGGAGCTGAAACAACAGTGCCTGCCCTTTTGAGTAATAACAGAAAAATTTTGTGCTGTGGAAAAAAAAAAAACGAAAGAAAAAAAGTTTGCAGCTTGTGATCTTGGTGTTAATTTATGCTGCTCTGGAAAATGTCAGCACTCCAACCTGATGCCCCTGCATCCATTTACGCCTCACACATGGCGACGTCATCACATCATCAGAGCGAACCATCCGTGAGCGTCGGAGACAGATTTGTTAAGAGGAAAAGGAAGAGAGGGGAATAAMTTGGCTGTTGTGTAATGCTGAGTGTGCCTCTTTGCCAGGAGTAGATCTAGCTTGTTTTTATAACGGGCCTAAACCAGTCTTAATCTCTTAAACACATGTGCCTAAATCAGCTCCTTGGGGCGACTAATAACCCTCCTGCATTAACCAATGCCGTTGATTAGCAGTCTAATAAACAGTCTCGCACCACTGGGACTATTGAGATGTGGTGGAGTGCCAACTCAAACACCCCTCGGTAAATTCAAGCATATGGATCATTAAACGATCTGTGACAAATTTGCCTGATTTGAATTCCACGTGGGATTTCCTTGAAAGAAGCTTTGTCTCACAAGTCTTTAGGCAGCGACTTTCATGTTGGTACAGTGGAGTTTCAGCGGCATTATTCTTTGCTTTTTGTTTTAAATCTTAGCTAATGTAAGAAAAAGCTGTGTTTCTCATTACTTGACATTCTTCCCTTTTTTTTTGGTATTTAGAAAGAGTGTTCTAACTTCATCCGGGTCCTCCAGCCCTACAACCAGACCCACCTGTACATCTGCGGCACAGGAGCCTTCCACCCCATCTGTGCTTATCTGGAAATGGGCAAGAGGGCAGAGGTAAAGTATAAATGCAGTAAGGTATTTTAAATCCCTGCCTGTCATGAAATGTAACAGCGTTTCATTTGTAAACTAATGAGAAAGTACACACAAGTGAAATGTTGAGCAACGCAGCTTCTCTTCACTGATTAACTTCCCATCAGTCATTTCTTTTGTGTGAAGAAATGGAGGGAGGAATGGGTCAGCACAATCCTCTCTCTTACATAAAAGTTTAATCAGTCATCTCAATACAGGTTCCACAGGTTAATCAATTTACCAGCGTGGGTTCAGCAGAAGGTTTGCACTGTGGAGCTTTTCACTCCAGCAGACTCTGCCTGGGTTCACTCGAAGTGTAGTCAGCATCTTTCTTTTTCTTTATTCAAAATCTGTAGGTAATGTGTTTTTTTAGCTTTTTCTCCTTCCCATGATTTAGATGTCTTTCTGTTGCACAAACTGTTGTCTCGCGAGCTAGTAGAGTTCTAAAAATCAAAAAGACATTACTCATCACTGTCAGGCCAGATTTGTTTTGCATCCCAGCTCATAAATAGCATGCTATAATGAGAATAAATTGTAACTTGAAACACGGTCCATAAACGCACCTTTAACCAGGCTTAATGTGGCTTTTACTGACCTTGTGTTGAACTTTGACCCTCTCCACTACAGGACAATATCTTCCGACTGGCCACGCAATTTGAGAACGGCCGTGGGAAAAGCCCCTACGACCCCAAAATGCTCTCGGCGTCACTTCTGATCGGTGAGTTCAGGCGCCTGCTTCTATTGGTTCCAGAAAGCACACGTTCGCTGTAGAGTTGGTTGTGAATTTCAGACAATAAACAAACTTCTGCCTGCCAGATGGAGAGCTGTATTCTGGCACATCTGCTGATTTCATGGGGAGGGATTTTGCCATTTTCCGAACACTTGGGGATCATCACCCAATCAGAACGGAACAGCACGATTCAAGATGGCTGAACGGTAAACGCTTTTTTTGTTAATGCAAAAATGTTTTTGTGTTTTGAAATAGTGAGAATGCAGGACAAAGCTAGAACAGATCAATGAATTAAAACAATAATAATAATAATAATAATAATAAT